GGTATATTGAACTTATCTGTTCTCTATGCTTAGCTGGTTCATCCAGTATGAAGTCCTGGACAATTTTGATTTTTTTAGAGCCTGAGTGCTTCGGGTATATTGAACGTAACTGTTCTCTATGCTTAGCTGGTTCATCCAGTATGAACTCCTGGCCTGAGTTAGTTATTTTKTCAACAGAAATTAAGGCTTTTCGGATAGATTGCACTGCAGAGACATTTTATTTCAAATAGTTCGAAAGATATATAAAATCTGGTATTTATTAGCAGCTTAGAGAAGAAAAGTCGTCAATAAATAGTTTCCCTCATAAACGTGAGGCTAATAACTCGAGTATGATCTGGCCACGGGGACGGCTGGGGTCAAACGTTCGGTCACGACATCATTGTATCGTTGTAGTATTGGAATAATAGCGCTCAACAGCTATGTAAAATTTGAAATTATCTATTATAAATGTTTTTATCATGCCCTGAAATTAGAAAAGAAAGATAAAATCTCGAAGTAGTACTATTCTTTTAACATTGCGTTACCATAAGCATTTACAAAATCTGTCATCGGAGTATCACTTATTCAAGAAGGAATGTAGAGAGACCCCCAACTGATGGGTAGTCGAAACATACCCATCAGTTGGGGGTCTTTTGGTTGCTAACGAAGAACGTGTGGCTCGTTATGTAGGATGTAATCATATTTGTCGTCCTTGAGTTTGCTGTCTGACAATGTTCATTATTCAAAAAGTCAATGCAAATCCTTTAACATTTTATCATACCCTGAAACAATTTAATCTAAGTCTGGGCATGGCAAATAGGGATATTTTACTTGTTTTTGCATTCTCTTGTTTCAAAGAGAAATGGCAAGGCAAGCTTAGTTAATAGTCAAAAACTGTGGTTAATATTTTCTTTCAGGCGCAGTAAGTAGGAATATAGAACTAAACCACCTAACCACTGACGAGGAGTATCTTCCAATAATACAGAGGTTTGAAATGCTTTTTTATTTTCAAACTTTTTTTTGCTCTAGGCATAACATATAAAAAACCTTTATTTTCTTATCATTTCCAAACTGCCTCTTTGATTGATGCAGTTACATGTTGTATATTTGTTTCTGTTTCAGACATGTTCCTAATGTACTGGATGAATTCAAGCCAGATATTGTTGTATATAATGCAGGAACTGATGTGTTAGAGGGTGACCCTCTGGGCAATCTATCCATTTCACCACAGGTATGTTATTAGAAGTTAAGTGCAGGTATTTATTATATTCATGATCAATTGAAGGGATGAAAATGAAAATGGCCTAAGTGACTTTTTGGTATATTTTTWAAAAATAGCCTAAACCAAACAAAAATACCAGCAAACAGTCTCTTTTAGTTTAAATATGAATGTTTAGTATTTAATTTTCATGATTTTGATCGGAAAAGTAGAAAAACGCTCCTTAGTTATGCATTGGCTTTGCTTGACAACCGATCATCAGTCTGTGAACTAGTGTATATTTGCATATCACTTGATGCCTCAAGTGAATTGCATTAACAGTCTGCTGTGTGTTCAAGCAGAAACTTTAATTCGATTTTGTCACTGTAAGGCTAATTTAATTACAGCTTCTTGTAACATTATATGATATTGTGTGACAATGCATCTTTGTTTAACTAGTTACGTTATAGTTAATCACATGATTGTAATCGTATATGTATACACATGTACGCCAGATATATATCAGTTCRCGTACTGATCAATACATGTAGTATAGAGTCAAGATAAAACAAATAAATCGAGACATAACCAACCGAAGACTATCACACTTCTCTTTTTTTTTACAAGAGCATGGTATTTTTTGGCACAAATCTATTTTTTTGGCTTTGCAGGAAGCTACGCGTCCTTTAAATGCGTGTGTGCTCAAGCAGAAATTTTAATATAATATGGAAAACAAAATGCAGTATTTTTTCAGCTTGATGATAAAATTAATGAAAGATTAAAAAATCTCAATGTCATCAGTTGAACGTAAGCTTGTTTGCGATCGAGGTTAAACAAATATGTTAGCTGAACGCCGTTTGCAGTGGCTTTCACTCATGCTGCTTTAAGGATAAAGATAAAGATATTGTCCAAAATCAGGACAAAATTGGCTAAACTTAGCCACTGATATTTCCACTTCATGTTTATACACAGTTATTAGATACCATAAACAAGAATTTAAAACGATTTTCTACTATTCAAGACGGGGTAAAGGCGTTTGTTTGAAAAAGTCTGTGACACTGATGTGTCATCATGCCCAGCCAAATTCATAGTRCAACGCGCATAGTTTTGATTTCTTTTTTTGATCATAATCTTTTATTCAGTGCTCAAGACAACTTTCTAAACTATACTCTTTTAAATTAACTATGTACACAGCATATAGGACGTGTCATATGCTTTAGTTATGTAGGTGGATCGAAAGTGTATATAGGTGGTTCGAAAAGACCTGGACCTGGTTCGAAAAAGACCTGGATCGAAAAGACTTTGGTTCGAAAAGACCGGTTACCAATAGGCCGTGTCCAATTTGGCAGTCAGAGGAATTTTTTGAATTTCAATTATTTCCAAATCGACAGACATGTAGTCCTATATTGCACTGATTAATTATATCCCAAACTATACGAGACTGATTCCGTAAGTCATAGTTTTCCCTCAAAAGAATGCGAATGGAAAATATTCAAATTAATCTTTAATTTGGACAGGAAAGAGAATTTGAAAATAATACAATAGTTGCTTATATGGGATTATGGAGTGATGATACAATTACATTTAGTAAATCATCAAGAAAATTGTCCAAAAATTCATATTATTTTATTATCAGTCCTTTAATCATAACATCCAATATTTTTATTTACTAACAGGGAATAATCAAAAGAGACCAAATAGTTTTCCAGGAAGCCAGGACAAGAAGCATACCAATTGTTATGGTCACATCTGGTGGATACCAGGTAGGATAGGTTTATTATTTTTTTCCAGTCTGGTATCCTGAAAATCATGTGTTCTTATTGGCTGCGCAAGTGGGTTGTACTCTATCCCTGCCTGCAGACCAGTAACCTGATGTCTTGTAAAGGTTACATCATCTGTGCTTGCATTGGAAAAGGGATTGTTAAACACATGGATCTTAGTTAAACAACAAAATGAATTGCAAAATAAATGGGTTATTCACAGCCCTAAAGTGAGTCTGGAAAAAACGGTGCCCCTTGAAAACGATTCTAATAACCTCTGTCCATATATTCAAGACCTCTGGCAGTTTTGCCCTATCCTGGCCTCCTGGCTGGTAAATAACCTCTACATCTGCTGTAGCAGTAGTGTACTCGCCTCTGACCTCTGGGATCTTTGGTTCATTATTTCTCAATCAGCATCAGTTTGTAATGGGTCTAATGCAAGGGTTATTTTTGAATCCAGGATTTGAACCCTCCATAAAATGTGTAGTCCCAAAAATTATCCATACCCTACTCACGGAGGAATTTTTTTAAGACACCCCCCTACCCCCCAGAAATTCCAATTTTCTTCCATACAAACTCAGTCTGTAATTTTCATTCTTTCTCTGACCCCCCTACTCCAAATTCCTCTGTGGGGTGGGTATGAATTATTTCTGGAACTACACAATATAACATGCTACAATCTGATTTGATCAAGCTATGAATTTAGGTGTCATGATCTATGASCTCACTGCGATTAGCTCAGGTTGGTTTAGGGTTTAGTAAAACTGAATGTCTGTATCAGACTCATACCCAGTCATTACCTTTTGCCGCTACAGATCGCAGTGTGCAAAGGCGCGGGATTCTCGACTGTATTAGTGCTCTACTCCCATAACGCATTTTGCACTAGCTTCCTATGAGCATAAGAAGCAACTGGGTACGAGTCTGGGTCTGTATTTGGAACTCTAGCAAAGAGGAAATGTGGTTTTGTGTGTGTGTGAGCTATCATGATCATTTTTTTGGAATGCTTTTTTTCTGTGATTGTTTCTAGAAAAAAACAGCCAGGATCATTGCTGATTCTATACTCAACCTTCACGAAAAGAGACTTATAACCTGTAATTATTCTGAATCAGGTTGGTTTAAACAACACACCGTCTTTAATTAATGAATTATGCAGACTCATACTCACCCACCCCATCCCCCATTCCTTGACTTATTTACCCCCCCCCCCCCCTGCACCCAAACCAAAAAAATAAAAGCCTGGATAATTGCTGATACTATACTCAACTTTCATGAAAAGAGACTTATAACCTGTAATTATTCTGAATCAGGTTGGTATAAACRAGACACCTTTAATTAATGAATAATGCAGACTCATACTCACCTACCCCAACTCCCCCATTCCTTAGCTTATTTAACCCCCCAACCCCCACCAAAAAAAGAAAAATCAAGCYAATTGATGTGGATGCAAGAAAATATGTAGTGGCCTTTCTATGCACTGTGGACTGAGAGAAAAATTGGGGGGGGGGGGGGGGGGGGGGGGGGGGGGGGGGGCATATATTATAGACCAATTCAGCTAATGCTATGTTTTGCCAAATTCAAATCTACTGGGAATACTTTTCTTGTCCATTATATTTACATGTCAATCGAGCACTTGAATATGGTAATGATATGTAAATACAATAGGCAAAAAAAAGTATTGCCTAAATTGAAACTAAATTTGGATTGGGTAAAACATTGGGTTAGCCAAATGGGTCGAGTTGATGTGTAGCATACTGTAGTAATAATTAAAAGTTTCACCTTGACCAGAGTCCACCCAGGAGTCAATCTGTCTTAATACTGATACACTGTTTGTTTTATATATACGTGCACTAGTATTTGATTTTTTCTTTCATCAGGTCCAATTTCATCCGCGAAGGCAGAATCATCTTCTAACTACAATACTTTCAACAATCCCTCTTCTCTCTAATGAATCTTAAATTATTATTAATTATGCACATCAATTACAAGATGACTGTCAACATTGCACGCTGCAGGACTTCATTCCAAGAATTCATTGAATCCAGCTGTTCCAGATATATAATTTCCCTAAAATTAAGCTATATGGTGATAGGAACTAAGTCATTCAGAGACTAAAAATAAATATTGGGATGCAAGTCTAACATTTATCAAACCCCTAAACAACATCTATTGTAGGCTAAACAATCTCTAGTAACTCATTCCACTGCTAACTCATAGATGAAATTTAAATTTGTGTTGGTTTTATCTAGATTTATGTAGGCTAGCTTGAATAGTGAGTCTTTGGGATGAGAGGGGTCCCCCTCTGAGCCAGCCCAAAGAGCYGCTACTCAGGCTATATGTAGGTCAACTATTCATTTCTTACATCCTCTATTTACTGACGCAGTTGTCTGTCTATAACAACTTCTATAATTGTAAAAAGTATATACAATTCATTGTGGAAAGAAAATGCAATAGCAAGATTTGTAGATAATTCAATAAAATTTAGCTAGTGCTCTACTAGCTTTTATTTAGGATCCCTGGGTATAGAAAACATTAATTTTTTTGTTTCATGTGCATGCAGGATCAATGCTAAATACTTTGGCTAGATATAGAGGTTATTTACTGGCCAGGAAGTTTGGATAGGGAAACTGTGCCTGAGGTCTTGAACATATAGACTGAGGTCCATTTTCAAGACTGAGGGCAAAGTAGTAAATAATAGTTATTTACCATCCTAAAGTAAATGTTCCAGATAGGGAAAACCCTATCTGGATCAACTTTAGGATGGTAACCCTATCTGGACCAACTTTAGGATGGTAAATAACTATTTTTTATTTTGATTTACATTTTTTTGTTGTTGTTTGGCAATCTGTTATCTAAGGATATGTACCATGGTTAGAGATAGAAAATACCACTCACTCTAACTGCTAATCAGAATGCCAGAAACTGGACTAGAAAAAGAAAGAAATTATACTACTAGAGCAAACTTTTTTCAGAGACAAACAGCTTTGCATCTTTGTATAACAAGGAGTTTAGTTAGTTAAAAACATAACCTAAAATTCGTCTGTACATGTATCTGTCCTTTATTATGCAAGTTGTCTCTCATTTTAAAACTCCCCTGACTGGATTTCTAACAATTAAGAATTACTGCCTTAGTAACATTCTTGATAGTAAGCAAATTTAAAACACTCGATCAGTTGCTGTTAAATATGTTTTTATTGTTATTTTRAAAACTAAGTTTTTCTGATGTACAAAGTAAAAAAACACATGAGTTTGCTTTAAAAAATCTTGAAAATTTCAAAATATAATATCAGTAGTCTACATAAAGTACCCTCAATTTTCAAAGTATTCAAGTGACTACCCATAAAAGAAAACGATTATATGTAATTCTTTTTTATTATTTAATATATAATATGCACAATCCAATGACACCTAATCAATAGCAATGTAAAATATTTCTTTACAATTCATTCAAAATGTACAGTACTGTAAGATTAGCGCCTTGTCTGGTTTTATCTGCTTGTTGTATTGAACTGCATAAAGTAGGCTGCTGTAGGAGGATTTGAGTAAACCTCTTTGTTGATATACTCTTGTCTGAAAAAAATAAGGGTTCAGATATGTTATTGCGTATCCATGACAACTTGCTTACCAAATATTACGGCATTTTGTTGCTGTCCAATGTTTAATAATATTGAATACAGAAGCTGGAAAAAGTAATTATAATTATTTTTTCCAGCTTCTGTTGTCGACAGTGAAATTAATCATATTTTTTTTTACTATCCTCTATCTTAATGTTATCCTAGCACACAAAACAAGTCCTACCCAATCACTGTCCTATTATTACATTGTCTGAGATCTGTTGCTCCATTGTTTCAAGAATATTAATATGGAAAAGAATTCTGTAACATTACTATATATTTATTAAGTGCATTGTGTATTAGAAAAACAAGAATTCTGGATTCTTATACATCTATTTGTCGGTTGGATATCTGAAATCAGAAATCTGAGACCGATTGGAATTATGGGGGACTGAGTGTTTTCTCATTAAAAATTCAATATACACTCACCCAGATAGTTTGCCAGCGCAGGTCATTGCTCAAAGTTAGAATATCAAGATATTAACTTTTTGTGAACTACTAATTTAAAACCACAAACAATCCAAAATTCCTTTCAGTCTCAGATTTCAGATCTCTGACCGACAACATTTTTTGAAATAGGTGTATATTACTTACATTGCTTTTTGTTCAGATGCTAGTCTTTGATTCTCAAGTGCTTGATCTCTTTCTTGCTGTTTTCTCTTCCTTTCTAGCTCTCTTTCCATCAATATTCCAGCTTTAGCTTGGGTTAAAAGAAGCCTTTCGTATTCTTTTTGGCGTTCTTCTTCTTCTTGTTTCAATCGCTGTTGATTAAAACAATTCATGGTAATCAAAATTGTTAATAATGAAAGGCTACATAGATTAGCTGTCACTCTACGTAATATAATATGCATTGTACAGCCAGGCATAATTGTACATTGTATATTTAACTGAAGATGCAAAGAATCTCTTTGCCATATATAAAGCTGCCTTAGGTATATGGAGATGTTGTCGGGTTGCAAGCATTCCCAAGAGAGTAAAAAGACAAAAACATGGCTGCCATCTTGGTGTGATTAACAATGGATACTAATAAGAAATCTTTTGCTTAATAGCACCAACATGGCATAATGATGTAGTGTGTAATCGAATTAAGAATTGCAAGATAGGAAGTCAATTTCTCATGCCGGCAAAGCATGCCAACATTATGTTTCTTTTAAACTCACCTCTTTTTCTTTTAACTGTTCCTGTTGTATGTACCGAATCTGTGCCAGCTGCGCAGGGCTCATACCCTTCCATCTATCAGTGATAACCCGATGTGAGCCAAATGCACTTTGTGCAACATCAGGATTTTCAGTAAGCATATCTCCAAATACGTGGTTAGAGATTTCTGTGAAGTTGTCATCCTGTTCTTGCTGTTTCTCAAGCTGTTCCTTTGTCTCCTTTTCCCTTTTGAGTGCATCATTAAAATCCTTAGTTGCCATGTTAATTGCACGCCGACAGTCGGCTTCGGCCATGGCTAGCTCACAAGCCCTTTGATCTAGTTCTCTGGCCTTGAGTTCGTAAAGATGATCAGCATATTCTTGGTTGGCTTTAGATTGGTTTCTTTCATCTACTTGTTGCTTGATGCACTCCCTATCAATTGGGAACAATCAATTAGCATGGAAAACTTGAACACTTTACAATCCTTTTCAAAGCAAGGATGGAATCATACAATATAGTATCCTGAAGAAAAGGGTTTTTGTCAAAAAAAAGAATTTTTCCAAGGGCACATGCTTAAGGAATGTCAATCGGAAACTTTTAGAGGAATAACTAGAATACCCCACCAAATGAAAACCATTTCTAAGGAATGTGCGTGACCTACTTGGTGATTCATTCTTATGAATTCTCAGTGTATTTTTCATCTCTGTCTATGCAGCCAACTCAGCCTACGCAGCCTACATGCCTACTCAGCCTACGAACTCTTTGTTTATTCCTACAAAGCCTTATCCAATCCTAACCCTAAACCTAACCCCAAGGTACTCGGTTGTTTATTCCTGCAATGAATGTGTAAACGCATAGGCATCCTACTATAATACTTTTCTTTGTGGAGTATTTTATACTTGTACCCCGCTAGATTGATGTCCACCAAATCCTACAGTACTTTATAGTCAAGATGTGATTACGAAAGCCTCTATTATACCTCATCTGTTCTTCTTGCAACTTCTTGCGCTCCTTAGAACTCAAGTCTTCCCCTAAGAACTTCTGCAAAGAGGCAATACCACACCTAGGATCATCATCGGACACTCTTGCAGGCTTGTCTTTCTTTAGGTAGTCTGGATCATTAAGATCCCATTCTCTTGTATCTTCTGGACGTTGGTGTTCACTTCGGAAGGTATTTAACTCCTTTTTCAATTCTCTGATGTCATGTTCCTGCCTCTTTTCCATTAAAGCACATATCTTATCATTTCTTGTCAAATCAGCAGCTGAAATAATAGAAGGGAATTTAAGAAGATTAGTACTTAGCTATTCACAAATTTTGTTCTTTGTTTGTTTTAAAAGTCTTACCAAAAGCATTGTGCCTTCGTCTCTCTTCTTCCCCTTGGCGTTTTCTGTCTACGACTTGCGTCTCTAAGGCTTGAACATCGATCTGGAATAGAAAGATTTATAAACTTATTTTAGTTTTTGCTAAGAGAGGAATCGAAACACTAAATCTGTAAGCTTAAATATTCTTGATATTCAGTTTTTGGTTCAAGTTCAATGCCAGTGGATACCAACTACTTCTCTGATACTAACTCGAGATTTTTGATATCCATATAGTGAAACAGAACTATATATTTTAAATTTCTTCACGCTTTAGGATTTTTATTTGCAAAATGTTTATAATCAGTAATAAGAATAAAAAGTTCGACAATCTTAGCACAAAGACAAGAGATCAACTTACTCCAATAGTTCGAACTCGAGCATTAAAAATTCGGCTCTGACGCTGCAATTYCTTGTTTCTTCTTCTCTCTATAGCAGCATTTTCTTTCAGGTCGAGTGGTAGATCAAGTTTATACATATTCCTTTCTGTGAAAAACGGTTTAAATCGGCTGTAAAAGTCTTGAAATCCTCTCGTCTCTCTGAGTCTTCTTGTTGCTGTAGTTTCTTTATACACAACTGGAGTTTGCTTTGGACCTTGTTGCTATGCAACGAAAACCCATGGTGCTTTGCCATACCACAGGAAGCCCACTTCATGAAAAGATTCTAGTAATTTCTTTTTCTTTATTTTTTTCTATTCATTTTACAGAATTCCGCAAACTCAAAGAACCTCATCTAGGTTTTGTCTTCAGCTGCAAGCAGGCTAAGACTTAAAGGAAAATGACTGAAATTAAATATAATTTTCTGCGAATTTATTTCCTAAAAATATATTTAATTAGCGCAGCTTGGCCACAAGTCAAGATTCAAGTTAGGGATCCTGCAGATCCTGCCGACTTTGGGTAAGGTTAAAATAAATACAACTTAAAATTGGCCGACTTAAAATAAATACGAAAACCAAAACTAAATACAGATTGGCTTGGCTACTTTCTTTAACATGGTCTAAACAGAAGGTTCGTATTTCTCAGTTTCGTTGGTTTAAGATGTTCGGACGAACCAGACCTAGATCCGCTCCTCCAAGAGTAATTAAAAATGGATTATCACATGAACTAGTTAGTCAGTCCGTTATTTAAATCCCACAGCACAGTTGGTTATCAAATGTATTCACTCTATAACAATAGAACGTCGAACTCTATTGATGAATCGAAGCATTTCTAAAGTAATTGTATCACCTAACAATATATAGGACTAGCTTTTCCGGCCAGTTTTAATTTTTCTTTTATCAATTTCTTATCTGTTCCAAAATTAAGTTAGTTTAATAACTTTGCATTCCGGATAACATTAACGTTTATCTTATTTATTTTGCAAGTTATTGTTTCGCGTTCAACCTTTGTGACTCTTTATTGATCGAAATTTTTTACAATTAAGTTTTTATCACTTTTTTTGTTAAAAATAATTGAAATGTGAATATCTCATTTTGTACGTCACGCGTTATATGACAGAACTGCTTTGTGGCACATAATTTTCGTCAAATGTCAAATTTTGAAGTTTGGGAGGAATTGCCTCTAGATTCCTCGAAAACTCATTTCGAAATAAATTTCGATAATTATTTTTCTCTTTGCGCTTTTATTCATCAATTCTTAAAATCCAAGGGCTCCCCCCGGCAAAGTAATCCATCACTCTCGGTAACCATGATGTCTTAAAAGAGCACAACTTACACCGTAAACGTAGTTACCGAACAATTAATTCATCTTCCAAGTGAACTTTCCAGCAGGGCTATTATCATATCTCAATTTGTATTGACATAAGCTTTGAATTCTAAATGAGATTCGATTTTTAAGACTTCAGGGACACCCAATCGTAAGGAAGAAACCTCGGTAAACAAAACCAGAAGTCAGTTTTGACGAAGAAAGGATCTAGTTTTTTTCCAACGACAGGTGCAAACTCGCGGGAATAGATTTCAACCCATTTTGAGGCCTCAGTTTTCAGCGAATGTGAGGCTGTCTTCGTTATGACCTTTCGAGCCGCTTTTTTCTGGGGGATTATATCTTTTCTGGTGTTTGTTTTCGCTGGAGCGGTAAAAAGTAGACCCGTTGGTGGTAAGTACAAACTACTTCTAATTTTCGCTTCATATATTCTTAGGATACACCACAAGGTTTTTTGGTTTAACTTACAAACAAATTCTAGGAACCGCAATTTGATCGATCTTTTAAGATTATATGCCTACTAAACTAGCCTTATATATTATTCAATTTTGATAGCTTTATATCTGATTCAATGGCTGAATAACATTTATTCGGAGATCGAAGAGAGAACTTCCCAATGTTTACCAAGGAAACCAGAAGCTTCTTTACAAGAAGATTTCGCTCCAAAAAAAGTAGCACCAAACGCCTTCGAAATACACCAAGAAATTCCGATTGAACTTTAGTTGTGAAAATTGAAGTTCTCCACGTTTTTGTTAGCAAATTTGTCTTGTCAGAAAAGGTGTTTTCAGTTTTGGCCCGTTATTATCCTTGGACAAGTAAAATAATCCCCGTTTTCATTTAGATAAAAATTATCGTAATTTTATTTCGGAAATTACAGGTTAAAAAAATCCGGCTTCTTTTTGACTTTTTGAAGAAGAAAAATTAAAATTAAGAAAGTGTTTCTATGACAAAATGCAAATTTTCGGAAGCAGAAACTTGACAATGACTGTGAGTTTATCCCTTTAAGCTATCATTAGAGAATGAATTTTTTTTGAAGTAACGGGAAAAGGGCAAAAGTAATAAAAGATAGTTTTTCTTATGTTAGTTATCTGTTTTATCACTTAAACGCATTAGAAATTTCAGTCCTAACTTTGAGCGTGTCTCCCTCGATTCTTAAAATAGTGTCATGGCAACTGAACTCTTATGACGCATATATATACTAAACGCTTCAACTTTTTTTTCTTATTGGCATCGGCTTGCTTTTCGTCAGATTCACTCGTTCGTTCACTCACTAGATCATTTTGTTGGGGGGAAAATGCAATACAGGTTGTATAAAGTTTGGATAAAAGAAGAGAAATTTGCTTATGTTTTTCTTCCAGAAAATATAATTATAACGCCAGGAACGGTTTTGCTAGCAAGTATTAGATCATATTGCTGCTAACAGTAGGGGAGAAAACAGTGGTATCAGCGATCTGTGAATGAAACATGGAGGGAATAAGTCGGTGCATGTCTGATATCAATGAACTGTCGAATTCGGTCATTGAACAGTCGATCGATCAAAGAGTAAGAATAAATTATAAATAACCGAGAGTCAAAACCATTTTGCTAAAGCCCTTGTAGCGGTAGCCTTGAGTTTCGACCTTGAAAATTCTCGTGAAAATGTACATAATATGAAACAGTAATTACAGTTATTGGTAACTAAAGAAACGATGTAACGGCGAATTTCAGTGTATCAATTGGCCATGGCTGACTGTTCTTTTTACATGCAAAAAATATTACTCCATCTTAGATACATGAAGTATAGCTGGTCAGAATCAGAATCTATTCTGCTTCCCTTAAAGCAGTATAAGTCACTGAACTAGCTAAAAGTCGGTCTGCCAATTACAACGAATCTGCAGGTGTGGATTCAAAAATTTTAATGAAAACGGTCGAAGTAAATTAAATGCTAGGATTAAGCCTTAACTTTAATTTATTTGTGGTATTAAGAAGGTGGATAAGAATATCGGGACGAAGGTAGCGACATTTCTGAAAAAAACTCAATCAGCATCAGAACTGTCTATCTTGTATTCTCATTTCTTTATTAATTCCCCCCGCACTTTTGAATTATATTTGCATTTTCAGTTTTTTTCCCCTTTCCTGACTAAATATGTTAATTTAGGATTCTCAAAGATTTGCGGCCTATGAAACATCAATTTAGCATGTTGGATTTTGTTGAAGAAGTAAATCGGAGAAGCTAGAAAAACCGTGCGATCCATCTCTTCTCTTCTCTTCTCTTCTCTTCTCTTCTCTTCTCTTCTCTTCTCTTCTCTTCTCTTCTCTTCTCTTCTCTTCTCTTCCCATCATTTCCCTAATCTCTTGTTCTCCATTATCTTGCTCAATCTTTCTAATTTCTTCCACAGATGAAGTGTGCCACATCGCCAAAGAAGGAGAATGTGGTTGCCAATGTATAGAAACAAGAACATCCACCTGGTCCAGTCTAGCCTATCTTTATAAACGAATATTCGTAAGATCCTTCAGCCCACTGGAATTGGAAATCGAATGTCAAAAATGCCAAAGCGAATGCGCAGAGTGAGTGATATACTCCATTACGTTCAAAGGTTTAAACTAATCTAGGCTAGTTCTAGACAATGGAAACCAAAACAACCCACTCGGGGATTCTTTCATCAGTTTCATCTCTAGTGTCGAAAACTTGATATCTTTCACCAGTGGAAGATACCATATCTTTCACACGTGAAGATATCGCTGTTGACATAGTAACGTATTTTAATAAAGAATTTTTGAGCTTTTGTTTTATTTGAGTTTCATCGATATCTACATAATAAACAGAACATTACATGGCCGCTTGGAGATACGAATTTTATCTTCTCGTGTTCAATTTAGATACCTCACTCGTTCACTGCGCTCACTCGTGAGATATCAATTGAACACTCGAAGATAAAATTCGTATCTCCGCGCGCCCATGTAATATCCTCTATTCAGTCAAAAGTACGTTATTTGAACTTTATTTTAATTTTATTGCTCTCTTTACCAGACATCTGAGGTCTCAGTGCAAAAATGGCAAATGCGTAAGTAATAGTTGTGAGTGTCACCAGTGCTGGGAAGGAAAAACGTGTGATCAAGCAGGTAATCAAATCGCTTTAAAAATCAACCAAACCCTAAATCCATTTCTAGGTTCTTAAATTCGGTGGAAAACCAAGATTCTTAAATGTTGTGGTTAGTGTAGATACTAGCAGTCCAGGTGATTGAGAGAAGGTTGTGTCTAGATGGGATACTCGCAGTCCAGGTGATTAAGAGAGAGTTGTGTATGGATGAGATACTAGCACTCCAGGTGATTGAGAGAAGGTTGTGTCTAGATGAGACTAGGAAGATCATAATTGTGAGGGAAATTTTATTCAGTCCCCTGGTAGTCGTACCCTACGATAGTATAAATAAAGCTAAAATAATTATGTATGTGTTTAAATATGTCTAACTCAATCACCTGGACTAACAGTATTCCATCTAGCCATCCGACGTGCTGGCTAGATGGGATAATCGCAGTCCAGGTGATTGAGAGAGACTAGGGAGATCACAATTGTTAGGGAAATTTTATTCAGTCGGCTAGTAGTCCTACCCTACGATAGTATTAATCAAGCTGTAATAAATATTTATGCGTTTATACACACCTTTAAATATGACTAACTCAATCACCTGGACTGCGAGTATGCCATCTAGCCATCCATTAACGTGCTGGCTAGATGGCTTACTCGCAGTCCAGGTGATTGAGGGAGACTAGGGAGGGTATTATTGTAAGGGGAATTTTATTCATTTGAAGCTGGGGGCGGAATTGATATCAACAGGGGAGAGCGGGGTTGAATTATAAACCCGGGATAGGTTTTTAATTACACGGATATATTGTAAGCACTCTATTTCCTAAAGAACAAAGCAAACGCAGTAATCTACCTTTCTGAATTCACTATAATTTAGTATTTTGTGTTTTGCATCGAAACAATGGATTTTAGGGCTTAGAACTTGATATTTTAAACCAGCTCAAACGCACGGGCTCGGTTTTGCATTAGAATTCAAGACTTCGGGTTTGCGGCCTTCGGTCTTGAATTCTAATGCAAAGCCTCACTCTAGCGTTTGAAGCTTTAAACACTTATTTCGATAAAGTTAGTCACCTGAAAAGCTACAAAGCTGAAACCGACAAGGATTATGGTAGATACATTTTACATGTTTCAACCGCTTGATTACTGTTGATGGAATTGAGATCTTCTACCAGTTACAAGTTAACCTCAGCAATCACAGCTTTCTAGGTTTTTGGTGACTAACTTTRTTGAAATAAGTATGTATTAAACACTTGCCTAATTCAATAGACCGCTTGCATTTGACGCGTAAAAGCAGCTCGATCTGGAAGACAAAACAAAAGAATTCCAATCTCCTGAGAATTGAAACCAGTGTTTTGTCCCCCAGATTGAGCTGCATTCCAAAGTGCTGCAAGGGGTCTACAATGCTATATAAGGGTTCTATAGTCAGTAAGTGCAAGCCATATATCCAAGAAATAGCTCAAAAAAACAACAACAAAAAAACAACAAAAAACAAACAACAAAAAAACAA